CCACGGAGGCCAGGTGAGGATGGAACCAGAGTCTGAGAGGGTTGTCTGCTGCCAGGACGTGCTGGGAGTCACACCCAGGTCTTCTGCAGGAGCATCGAGTACTCTCAGCTGCTCAGCTGCTCAGCCGTCTCCCCAGCCCTCTTTTATTTTCCGAGACAGTCTCTCACTGAACCTGGAGTCCACCGACTCAGCTAGACTGATGGTCAGTGCGGTCCAGGTGCCTTCCTGTCTATGCCTCCCCAGTGCTGGGACACAGGCGGCTTTTACACAGGCCCTGGGCATGCAAACTCACGTGCTTAGGCTTGCACAGCTCAGGCCCTGCTTCATTTTTTTAAATTATTTTTATTTCATGGGTATGGTGTTTTGCCTGCATGTATAACTTGCCAGAAGAGGCCATCAAATCATCTGCAATTGGAGTCACAGACAGTTGAGCCACCATGTGGAATCTGAGATTCAAATTCTGGTCTCCAGATCCCTGTTGGTTTTTTTGAGACAGGGGTATCACTACACAGTCCAGGCTGTCTGGGACTTCTGTATCATCTTGCTTAGACTTCTGAGTGCTCCCATTGTAGTCAGGTGCCAACATGCTGGCCCTTCCTTCCTTCCTTCCTTCCTTCCTTCCTTCCTTTCTTCCTTCCTTCCTTCCTTCCTTCTTTCCTTCCTTCCTTTCTTCCAATATTTTTTATGTGCATTGGTGTCTGTGTGAGGGGAGGGTGTTGGATCCCCTGGGACTGGAGTTACAGACAAACTGTGAGCTGAGAATTGAACCAGGGTCCTTTGAAAGGATGGCCAGTGCACTTAACCGCGGAGCCAGCTCTCCAGTCCCGACACTAGTCTTTTCCTGCTGGCCTTTTTCAAAGGACAGATTACAAGAGGAAAGGGGTACTCTGAAGCCAGGCCAGTGTCTGCTGCCATTCTGTGTCATGACTTATGCTGCTGTCCCATTATATCAGGAGGACAAGAATGCCAAGAATTAAAGGGAGCAGGGGTTTGCTGGAAGGCTACGGGTAGGCCTGGGCTGGAGAGAAGTCTAGAATCAGAACATGTTCTCAGCTCATGCTGTGACTGGCGTAGCAGACAGATTTATTAGAAGAGGCCAAAAAAAAAAAAAAAAAAAGCAGCCTGTGATGATAGCTGGGGCCATAAGGAGGCAGAGACACCTCCCCACCCCCAACACAACCCAAATGGAAGATCAGTGGCAAGGAGAGGCGCCCGTCCCAGGAATCGGCTCTTCTGTTCTCTCTAGCCTGCTTTCCAGCCATTAACTGTCCTTGTCGTCGCGCCTCGTTCTTGAAGGACATTTTTCTCAGCTGTCTATTTTGGTGTTGGTTGGGGGAGGGGGCATTTGGGGTCATTGTCTGCAAATGCATCCTGGACAGCAGGAGTGTGCCGCTCTGGCTCCTCTGCCTGTCATCTGTCACCCAGCCAGAGCAGCCTGCAGCTAGGCCGGGGACTGCCTAATGAAGACAGAGAGGTGGCTCTGGCTGTGCACAGGTGTCGATTCCCCCATTAGTGGAGGTGACATTCCGAAGCACTCCTCATTACAGAGCAGACATTGGACAGGGCTGGGACACATATTGATGGCAGCAGGGCCAGCCAGCGTCTGTCTCAAATCCCACGGCCCCCGAGGAGTGAGCAAGAGACAGAAGCATCCTGAGTGTCAAACCCACCGGCCTCTCTCTTTGCAGAGAAAAACGAATTCTCCACAGGCCTGACACTGAGGAGCAAGACATTCTTTCTGCTCCTTGCGGACCCAAGGGTCCTTAGCTTCAGGCCCACCCCAGTGCTGACCAGCCCACACAGAATTCATGCAGAGGAGCTTTGCCCTCCAAGGAAGAGTTAATGGGGCCAGTGGTTGTGGGCCATGTCTGGTCCTCCCCTTCAGGCTCCGACATAGAGGCTTTCTTGGAGATGGACATGGACCCACGTTGTAGCTCGGAGAGTAGGGTTGCGGACATCTTACGGCGGGGGGGGGGGGGGGACTGTCAGGGACCAGGGCCGCATGGACAAGACCAGAGGGAGTGAAGACCGGACAGACTTTCCTCTTGTCCTTGCACGCGTGTGCGGTTGGTTCCTTTGGGACAGGAGCGACCTGTCCATCATCTTGGAAATGCAGGAGCTGGGTGTCTGCAGCTTCCAGAGCCAAGGCTAAAGTGGCCATAAGAAGAGCTGCTACATGCACGCACACACCCCTCCAAACCCCAGGCGCCACCCTCCTTGGTCCCAGGCTCTGCGCACGCTCATTAGGCCGCCCCCGCACAGCTTGATTTTAAACTTGTAGCAGACGGAACTCGACTTAAAAATAACTATTTTGACAGTTGGGATGTAAATATGTGAGTGACGCGTGGGGCTGTTTTTCCTGCGTGCTTCCCCCCATCCTCGGTGCCAATCCTAGCCCCTGCTCCGCGGAGGCTGAGATGACGAGAGCGCCTCCTGCAGGGTAGTAGGCGCACTGCAGCGGAAGAATTCCCTTTCAACTTAGCATCACCTTGCAGTTGGAGGCAAATGTGTTTATACACGATGTCTTTGTCTATGACCTGACAAAGGAGGTTGTTTAGCTACTCTTGCGTTTGCTGTTGTTTTGAGATGGATCTTGCTAGTTAACCACAAGCTGCCCTTGAATTCACAATCCTTCTGTGTCAGCCTCCCCAGTGCTGGGATTAAGAGAGGTGCACAGCTGTCCTCACACCCCCATACCTATTTGTCCTCCGCTCAGTTTGGCCTGTGCTCATTGAGTCTCTCTACACCGAGCACTGTGCTAGCTGCAGTGGAACAGATTTGTAAGCTAAGGAAGCACCCGCGCGTGTAACCTGATGGTCCTCACAAACACTCAAGGGGCTGGCGTTACTGTCTGCCTTCTCCAGGTGAGTAGCAGAGGTGTGGGACGTGAAGCGACTTCAGTGGGCTGCCACGGCCAGTCGGACACTGAGACAGACGGGACCTGGGGAGCCTCGTCCTCACCAACCTTGTGAAGGGAAGAGCAGCAGTCACTCTCTCCAGAGGTAGGGAACAGGACGGATAACATCAAGGTCTGTCTCTCTGAACACCAGTGTTTCATCTAAGATAAAGCCAGGGCCATCAAGGACACTTTGGTGTGCCAACCTGCTGTCTTATTCCCTTTCTTGTTGGGCAATAGAGGGTAAGGGGGGGGGGGAGTGTATGATGTCCTAGAGAGTTCCAAACTCGCTCTTTCAAAGAAGAGTGAATGAAAGCAAGGAGGAAGCGGACTAGAGAGTAAACACGCCTGTGTTCGGGTGTTAGTGGCCCAGCCAGGTACAATTCTCAGAGCGCATTCATGCTCAGAGTCCAGCCAGCTGGTCCGTGCCCCCTTCCCTCTGCAGACAGTGTCCTATACCCTCGGCTAAGCGTCTACTGATGTTCTCAGGTACTCTATGAGCACCGTGTGCATGCAATGTGCCCGAGAGGCCAGAAGAGGGTGCTGGATCCCCTGGAAGTTACAGGCAGTTATGAGCTGCCCCCTGCAGGGGCTGGGAACTGAACCCAGGTCCTCTGCAAGAGAGACGGGTGCTCTTAACCACTGCACCATCTCCCCGGCTCTGCTCTCGGGTTCTTTCTCTCCTTCCTAGCAAACCCTGTCCCAGAACCTCTGACGCAGTCACTGATGCTGGAATAAATTCATCATTCACCTCCCTCCTGGAGTCTAGCCCCGTGGGGTCAAAGCTTTCTGTGAAAGCACTAAGGAGAGGCCAAGAGGCAGGTTTAGGGAGAGGAGAGGAACTTGGGAACAACAGGACCCACCTGTGATGTTAGAGGTCCCCACAGCACCTGACGGCAAGATCCTGCTGGATTTTTGCCTGTGCATCTGGCCTCCAAGGCTCAGCTCCATCCGTCCCCTCCGAGAGGCCTCTCCGGGCTCTCAAGCACTTTGCTTGAACTCTGCCTAGAGGATCCTGCATTCTTTGAGCCTTGTCCTGTTGCTTTCTGTCATATTGAAGCTCCTAAGGGGTGGGGGCGCTGGCTGACTTCCCGTTCCTCCTGCAGTGGCTCCCACCCCACGGCGCTCTGCTCAGGGTCAGGACTCAATACTGACTTAATGAATTCAGGGGACAACAGCACACTTTATTTCCTCAGGGTAAGAGCTGTGATGCAGATAACGGAGGGGCTGGGGCCGTCATGCAAGAAGACGCCTGAACCAAAAGCACAGGATGGAGGCCTGTTCCTGGCAAGCCTAGGAACACTTTGTGAATAGTTTGTGCCAGGCATTAAGGAAACTGACCTAGGAGAAGAGAGCCACCTTGGCCATGAACAGTCAGTGCACACTGCCGTACAAAAACCGCACATCGCCTGTAATCCCCAGCTATCAGGAGACCCGAGTTAATCAATTCATCTACAGCTGTTCCTTCCTTACAGGAGACGGGCTTTGAGGTTAGGGCTGATGGCTCCGGCTCTCTGTCCCTTCTTAGGGCCCCATTTCTTCACAGTAGTAGAATCTCTGCGCTGGCCCCTCAATCCAAGTGGACTCTCAATGCAATAATTCTTTTTCGCAGCTCTATTGACACACAATTCATACCACCTGGTAACCTTGGTTACGAACGTGCCTCCATCTTTCTTTCCTTGCAAGACTGACAGTCGTGCATCCTGTCAATAGTTCTGAGAAGCCCAAGTAAAGATCTTTAGTTTATATTGAAGTAGCTGTAAGCCATGAGATCCTAGTGCAATTCTAAACCACGGCCCCTTTGCCCACCCTTTCCAGCACCAGTCAGTGTGACCCACTAGTTCCCTGAGACGCTAGGAGGCAGGAGGCTGGCTTTCCCTCAGTTTACAGATAGTACAAAGAAGGCTCAGCGCCTCGGTGTCCCCCAGTGCTCCCCCAGCTCTCATCCCCTGTGTATACATTCCCGACTTTGCCACCCAGCTCCCTTCTCCCTCCTCTCCGATCGGCAGAGACACGATTGACTTCTGCTGCTGTGTATTGTAGTGTGAAGCCAACGCGGATGCCCCACATGCCTTGACAACATAATTCACTCGCTGCAAAGGGACGTAATAAAGTGTGTTTATTACAGCAATTATCGGCGCAGAATCTGCCAGCATGCTTTCCAGTGGCAACCAGAAAAGTGCTTACTCCAGATGCAGAGATGTCGGAAACCGTGCAGCTAGGGCCAAAACGAAACCAACGAGGCTTGGTAAATGGGTCTCAGTCACCCTAGGAAGAAGAACCGTTCAGGAGTCAACTCAACCGAAGCAGAGGTTAACAAGATGTAGATTGCGGTCCGTTGAATTAAGATCTGGACCTGTTTCCAGGATCAAGGTATTGGGGGACATACATAAAATGTACCCCATAACCCAGCCACCGCACATGCTGAGTTCACATCTCACCGACTGACAGAGGAGCATATAGATGGAGACCATTAGCACCAATGATTCTCAGGGATTCCCTGCCACTGTGGTGGAATTCGGGACACAGGAAGACAATCAGAGGCGTTGGAGGAGAGGCAGAAGAAACAGCTAAGAACGCCTCTCACTAAATGCTGCCTTCAAGAACATCATTACGCTACAGGGTAAAGATGCAGCTCATCAGGAGAACACTTGTCCAGTGGTCCTGAGGCCTTGGGCTTCGTCCCCAGCACCTTGCAGGGGTATGGAAGAGGGACCTCGATTTCCTGAAGGGAATATGGCTAAATTAGAGGGAGTCTGCTTTCCTAGCCTGGGGAGTATATGCTGTCTTGCTTTGGGCAAAATGACTAGACAAAGACATAGATGCATTTGTCCTAGCTCTTTGGTAGAGGGACAGAAGGGAAGTCATTTAAATTCCACAGCAACATCAAGTTATCTGACTGCCGTAACCAGCCAAGCAGGGTTCTTTATATATTGCTTGTGCCAACAGGAGAGTCCTCAGGAGACTGGGTGTCCCCAACAGAAGCAGCAGTGTGTGTTTTGGCTCACTGAGGAGACATCCGGATGGTAGTCACCCAGGTTGACCATAGTTCTGACCTCCCAGGAAACACAAAACTGATTATTGAAGCCAGCAAGCCAAATAGGTCCCCTTGGTTAAGGGATGACTTAGATGTGCCCCCTCCCCTCAGCATTCCTTTCCCTCCTCGGGCCTCTTCGAGAAGGTGCTACGCTGAGGGGTGAGGGCAGAAGGCAGCTGGGCTCTCTGGAACAGAGAAAGTCAGAGCTTTGAGCATCATGAACAACAGGATAAAAATAGCAGCGTTGCCATGGCAAGGGAGGCTGGGAGAGTCCTGAGGATGTGTCTAGGTCCTGCCATCTCCCCCGCTGGCATCCCTCCCGCCCCTCAGATGGAATGCGGGAATGAGCGGAGGGAGGAGAGAGGCCGCCCCAGCAGGGAAGGGGGCTGACTGGAAGCCCACTGGGAAAACCCGTGAACTTCAGAGCCTGGGTGCGTCTGCCAGGGCCCAGACTGCCCATGTTACAGGGCCCCTGCTACTGAAATGTCTTCTTTGGTGTAAGGCTGTTCTGAGCAGCTCCCTGTGGATAGTCTGCTTTCCACGTGAGGTTCTAAGCCCACAGGAATCTAGAAAAGGGGCCTATGCCACAACTCCCGCATGGTGGGCACTAACTACTCCAGAGCTGGCCTGGGGGACCAGAGGGCTTGTTCTGACAAGCCAGGCACCCTGGTCCTGGATCGTTTAGCGACATGTATTTTGAAGCTTTTAGGAGCGAGCAGGTGGTGATGGCTACGATTGCTCTTCCTGTGTGTTGAAGATACAGCAGGGGCATTCCTAGGGAAGACTCTACTTCTTGGTTCCTGGGGGGCTGTCAGCCCAACCACTTGCCAGGCACAGCAGTAACCTCCAGGATGAGTGAAGAGCAGCAGCTAGGAGGCCCCTGAATGCATCGGTCCGGACTCCCTCTCCCGGTGAAGCTGGGAACCAAGGGTCCATCTCCAAGTTTCAGCCATGTCTGGCTACATCCAATACAAGGTGCTCTTCATGTTGGGTAGGGAATGCAGGTGTGGGACTCATCCGTGGGAGAGAGGAAGCAGTTTCTGTGGTCAGGAGTCAGTGGAGGAACCCCAGGGGAGGCGGGAAAACTGTAACTCCCCACACAAAGGGCACCAGTGCCTCCTCTCCTACCCACTGCTGTACAAACCCAGCCTGAGGGACGGGGGTGGGGGGTGGGGGGGGTGGGGAGGAAGGCTCCATCGTCTTAGAGATGGGCCATGGGCAGCTACACAAAACGAACTCAAGCAGATGTTAGGCCCTTCTGAATCTCTTCAGTATGTGTGCCATAGGAGCACAAAGATGGCAACAGTGGCGGCCCACACAGGGCCTGGTGTCCCAGCCCTCACTGGAGGAACATTCTAGAAGCTGGGGCTGGGGCTTCCCCTCACACTCCAGCACTTCTCAGATCTGCCTGGGACTCCAGCCCGCCCTCTTCACTATGCTGCCCTCAGAACACATCCCCTGGGGCACAGGACACCTGAAACCCCACAAAGCCTGGACTCCAGAATACATCAATGCAACCCCTTCTATCCTTGAAGAACCAGTCCCGGAAATAAGGCCTGACTCATTCATCCAAGGTCACAGGATCACTGGTACTCAACCAAGGCTAGAACCCAGGAAACCGGCTTTTGGCTCAGGGCTCTTTGCATCTCATATATCTTTTTTGGTTAAATTATTGCTTTTTATTTTCATCTAAAAATGAACAACTTCTTTATATATTTCTATGGATCCATATACTACATTCAAACGCCTACCTCCTTTAGGAGCGGAGAATGGAAATAACATTTTAATGAACTATTTTGAACCTAAGACAAGAAGCCCTTGGGGGTCCTGGGCCAGGGTCCTAGAGGGCATTCAAGTCCTAAAATCCTCAACAGCCATTTATATACACACACTTTCCACTGACTGGTTCCATAGCCCAAGAGGGGGAACGCAGAACCCATCCTCTAGGGAAGATGAGCACCACGCCGTAGGAATGAAAGGTGTGCCTCACCCTGAGAGCAGAGGGCCACCTCAGTAGAGTCTAAAAAGACCCATGGGCTAGCCTTCCCTCAGGCAGAGTGAAGGAAACATTAAGCAGAAAACACAAAATTGACTGAGCCCAGCCAGAAGCTGAATTGGGAACAGGTTTCCGGCTGCTTCCCAGACACTGAGAGGGACAGACTCCCCATCTCCTTGAGAAAACGGTCAAAATAATAAGTGTGCGTTTGCTAGACGCTGCTACCGCCGCTGCCTCCTCAAGCCACGTCTTCTGCGGCATGCCTACACCTCACCTCACCGGGCATGTAGGGAGCAAGGACAGCCAGCTGTCTGCAAGCAGCAGGGCTCGTACACTCCAAGAACCTTGAACCACCCAGGGTCCTATAGTAAGGGCTCGAGATATCCAATGTCTCTCCCACACCAAGGGCACTTTTGTGAGGTAAGCAGCTCTCTGAGCCAGCTCTCTGCCAACCCCCGGGGCTGCCTCCCTGCCGAGGGCTGTGAAGCGAGCACCAGAGAGCTGCCCCCCTCCTTACCCTTCCCAGACCTAAGTTCTCCATTCTCTGACCTGTCCTCTGGGTGAGCCTATGTGGTTGGGACATAACACCCAACGCCTCTTAGTACTGAGGATATGATTTCATCCTCCAGTTCCAGAGAGGCTTCTCTGATTGCAGCCTGGAAGGCAGGTCGCAGCTAGCAACACTCGGGGAGGGATCTGTGGCTTCAATAGCAAAGTATGCCCCCAAAAACTTTTCCGCCATCTCTGCCTCACCCAAGGACTCCACTGTCTGAGAGGAAACTGGATCTTTGCTTTGTTCCTTGTGACCTCACTGGCCTTTGCTGCAGAGGCTTGATGTTTCCCTGAGGGAAGGATTTGTTCAGGATTCTTTGAATATGACAGAAAATAACAGACAGTAGGGTGGCTCAGGTGGGAAGGAAGACGTGAGAAGCCGATGGAGGAGAGAGAAGCCTCTTGGCTGTGCTCAGGCTTTACCAAGACAACCTTGATGCCAGTGATTAATGCACAAAGCCAAAGAAACAGCCCTTCTCTATTTGCTCAGAGGCCCTCACTGAGTTCAGGCCTTCCTTCGTCTCGGACCCTCCTCCTCCTCAGCCAGGCCTTTGTTTATCTGTTCTGTCCCAGATGGTGGTGGGAATGTGACTCCTTTCCTTGCTGAACTGTTCCCATCAGGAGAGCGGCCGGCTAGCAGACCAGAAGCTACAGAAAGGATGTCTACTGCTGGAGTTCGTTCTTAGGTCCCAGCTCTCCCTCTAGCACCTGAGAGATCCGGGCACAAGGCCAAGGCCAGGGAGGAAGGAGAAGGAAGGAGAGAGGAAGGGGAAGAAAGGAAATGCTTTAGACTTTGCTTCTGAAGTCCTAGAGATGAATATGGGACACAAGACCCTGAAGCAGGAGATTGACAGCACACTGGGAAGATGAGGGGAAAAGTCAAGGGAAATCCTAGGGTTCCCTGATCCAAGAGTCCTCTGAAGGTGCCACATGCCAGCGTAATGCCTTCTCCAGCTTCCCAAGGAGAGGAGAAGCCGGGGAGGAATGAACAAAATGGGGGCAGTGGTCTGGCCTAGATCTGGGGACAGTCCCTGAGGGGCTTAGTACCTGGGGAGAGGTCTCCCCACATCTATGTGCTCCCAAAAGAAGTGAGGACTATACGGAACTGGTGATCCAGGACCAGAACTGAGGGAAGACTGGCCTGTGACACAGAGAAGAGTCACCCACTGCCTGGCCCCTCAAATGTCTAACTTGGGCCTCCAACCTCCGTCCTGGCCCAGCTGGCCCAAGAGGATGCAGGGAGGGGACGGAGACCTTGGGGCCCCAGCAGAGACTCCATCTTGTGCTTGGAGGTAGTGTCTCAAACATCAAACTCTTCAAGGCGTTTGTAAGAACAGCTACTTCCCTCTCCCAAGGCCACATTAGCCTCATGGGAGACGCAGCCCTGAGACGAGCCTGGGAGCCTCCTTCCTTGCCCAGTCTGGTGAAGAAGGCAAGTGGTGGGTCCTGGAAATCCCTCTGTGTAGCTGAGGCCTCGCTCCAGGAGCACAGAAGACTGGGAGCTGATAGGGGTGGCCAATAAGAAGGCTCAAGAGGCGGATGCCCTCACGGTAGGCAGACTCCCGTTGGATGAAGACGGAAGGCACAGGCACTGAGCTCCATAACAGTGAGCAGCCTCGGGCCCGGAGCCACTGGGAGCTGACAAGGAGGCCCTGGTTCTGCTCACACCGCTGTTTCCCGCTCTCTGTGGACGTCTTCCTTCTTCCTCTTCATCTTGCAGAAGCCGTGAAGACCACAGAAACAGGCGAAAGTGAACTGGGGCATGCCCTGGGCCAGGAGGGGAATGCTCACCAGATATCTGTAGGGGAAGGCAGGGTGGGAGAGTAGGAGAGAGGCAAGAAGAAAGAGAAGCAAGCTGGGGTTATCGTTCCCAGAACCCTTGGGGCTCCCTGAGGCTGCTGCCTGTCCTACCATCAAGTAAGGGAGCTCCGCCACCAACCACAGCTTCTCATTTCCTGCTCCATGTGGAACTGGCATCACCTTCAGGGGAAGGCCAGCCGGGCAGTGACGGCGCACGCCGCCTTTAATCCCAGCACTCGGGAGGCAGAACTCTGTGAGTTCAAGGCCAGCCTGGTCTATAGAGTGAGATCCAGGACAGGCACCAAAACTACACAGAGAAACCCAGAAACCTTGGG